AATGCCGTTACATCGCTGTGACGTCACTGCCAATGGAGCCGATCCGCTCAGTTTCAGAGACGCTCTTTCGTTTCAGAGTTATCTGTCATGTTAACAGTACTTAAAAACAGACCACTTATTCTTCATATCTTCATTATTCATATTTGTACAGAAAGTAGAGCGTTAATTGTCACAGGTTTGACTGCGAGCGCGTGAGACTCATAAGCCTTTACACCTGTATGCAATCGGTCATCCCTCATTTAGTAACAACAACAACACTTATAATAGAACATATTATTATTATTATTAATAATAAGGTTATTCTCAAGAATAAAAATGCATCTTTCTGTGGCTTATGTGTGAGTGGGCTCTAAGGTCTCATCAAATACATGGCTCTGCATTCTTCTCATCTTGCATTATCAGATGATATTACACATTCATCACAGCCTTTATAAACTTTGGGAATCTATACCATGAAAATAAGTATTCTCTTCTCTCTTTTTTTCAGTGTCAATTGCCGTCTGATTGTTGTAAGTGAAAATACAAATTCTCTGAATTGCCAGTTACTAATTCATTAATAATCACTGATGACACTGAAAACATTTTCATTTGTACAGATATCTCACTGCTCTTTCTTCTTTGTGTCTCTTCTGCTTGTGTCTACAGCAGCTACACACTCCCCACAGGCTCTTTTAAGTATATGTTTTGACTGACTGTCAGATCCTCTCAGTATTTGAGTTTAGATCAATTAAAGAAACATCATGCAGCATGTTATGTCTTAATGAAGACGTTAAAGGGGTAGTTCATTAAAAAAAAGTAACAAAAAAACTAGCATCCTGCATCTCTGATTTGCCAGTTTTTATAGTAACACACTAATATTTTTCTTTGACTATTCTGTTCATCAATACAGACCCATGTATTATTTAATAGTGAAATGTTCAGTCATTTCTTCTTCATCCGCCATAAAACGTCTGAGATTGTATCACTGGCATCCTTTGCAATAAGATGCTTTGTAACTGCTAGACACTTAGAGCTATACTCTAGATTTATCTTTGACATTCATGTTAGCATAATTTGCAGCATTGTAATGTTGTGTACTTTAATGTTTATGAGTAATCCTGTATATTATTATTATTTATTAGATTTTGCATCATCCTCCACGGTCTCCTCCACAATTTTGACTTGCCACATTTTAGTTCAGGGTAAGTAATATTCTTTATCTTCACTTTAAGGTGCTCTCAGTAATGTTTGTTTATTATTTTTTATATTTATAAAGTCAACGTGGACTTTCATGGGATATTTACATTTGGTCACCGTGTTTTTAGTGATGGGATAGCTATCAGGACAAAGGACATTGTATTTATTTATTTTTTATAATATGTTGTTCATTTTTTAAACTCAAATCCATTTAGTTTTTTTGTAGTCTAGGAGTGGGACAAATGTATTCTGTATTCTTTTAAATGTGCTGTTTCTTCTGAGTATTGAGGATGGCTAAAGAGGTGTAAGAGGTTCTCATTTTAGGTGAACTATCCCTTTAAATCTCATTTGTTTAAATCTCATTCTCATTTTGCCATTATTCATTCACTGTTAAGGGATGGATCTCAATTACACAGTCACTATTGGAAAGGAAAACAAAACAAAAAAACAAAAACTTAACTTAAAAAGAAAAAACGGAATGTCTGCATAATTGTCTAACAGAATTGTGAGCGACAACCATGGTCAAGGCCTCCCAGAGACTGTTCAGTGCCAAAAGACCTCAAAGATACAACAAGATACCAAATGTGTTTAAATGTGATCAAAAATCTGTAAGGATGGTTTCCCTACAGTGGTTCAGGCTGTAGAAATGCCGAATGACTACCCACTGCCACTTATACCAACGACGGAAATAAGAAAATATTTTCTTATGGTTACACTTGAATTGGTTACAAAATAGATGAAGGACAATTAATTGTACCCAGCATGTATGTAAAATATTACCTGAGGGAGAGGGAGAGGGAGAGAGAGGGAGCGAGGGAGAGAGGGCAGAGCCCCAAGAAGAGAGTCCCAGCAAAGAAAGAGAGGTAGCAAAGGAAAGAGAAAGAGCAACAGTTGCAATCCTCTTTTATCCCTTCCTTGACCATGTGACTAAAAACCAAATGTGAGACATTCAAACTGACCAATCAGCAGATTACAACTTCACCAGAGAGGTAGCAAAGGAAAGAGACAGAGCAACAGTTACATTCCTCTTTTATCCCTTTCTTGAACATGTGACTAAAAACCAAATGTGAGACATTCAAACTGACCAATCAGCAGATTACAACTTCACCCACTGGGCAAAAGGTGTGACAATTAGCAGACCCCCGATGTATACACATGTTGGCCTGCAGGCCTTGATCGATATCAGCACTTCTGTGCCTTCAGGAACGCCAAATGACCCTTTTGTTACTGAAGATGGGATTGGGAGAGGAAAGCAGAAGTCTTTGATCATTTTTGACCTTACAAATCCAACATTATTATACCTTCTCTTTGCAGATTTGATATCAATACCAGTATCATTTTTTAGGATTAGGCAAACTAGTATGAAATACATTTATTTTACATCTACCTCTTAAGTGTTAGTTCACCCCAACATGAAAATGCTATCATTGACTCACCCTTAACTTGTTCAGAACCTGTATGAGTTTCTTTCTTGTGCTGAACACAAAAGACGATATTTTTAAGAATGTTGGTAACCAAACCGTTCCTGGCTTCCATAGTATTTTTTTGTTCTACTATGGAAGTCAACACAGAACAGCAACGGTTTCATTACCAACATTCTTCAAAATATCTTCCTTTATGTTCACCAGAAGAAAGAACTTCACGAAAGTTGAGGGAGAGTAAATTTTTGGTATCCCTTTTCCATAATTTTGCAAATGGCCAAATAGGTTTCATATAATGAAACTGGTATAACATGTTACAGCATAATGAGTATACTATTACCTTTGGTTACCTGCATGCCAACAAATGGCATTTTCTTGCAGACACACCATCTCAGCCTCATCCAGGAGAGCGTGTACGGAGGGTAATGCGGGCAGTAGCCACCAACGTATGGAGCCACTGCAGCCTGCATGGGAAGCCAAATTAAAACAACAATGTGCAAAGTTACCACATGTGAGTAACAATGATTAGTTTAAGAACAACAGAGACAAATGTGTAACAAATTTGACACTGAAATAGTAAAGCTGCCATTACATCAGATTGTCTTGACTTTATACAAGTCCTTTCTGCGTTTTCTAGCACAACTTTTTATTTTATTTTTTTAACAAAATTAAATATTAAGTTTTTGACATTGGAATACTTTCTGTAAAGATACTTTAATTAGTATGATTTTTATAGTATGACAAAATAGTATGATTAATTAAATTATAAGTGTATACATTGTATTTAAATTATACACTTGACATTTATATCTAATTTATACACAACTGAACATATGAATAAACACACTGATAACACAAGCATGAACAGTTATGGTACTCGCATACTGTAACGCTGTGAGTGACTTCTGTTTAGTTCCAGAAGCGGTGGTGAGATGGAAAGCTGGTCTTGGGGAGAAGGACATAGAAAGCTTAATTGCAGAGACTCTTGAACATGCGCCGGCGCACATAAATAAAAGTGCTGAGGTATGAAAAGCAGAGAATGTTCTGTAATTAAAAGCCAAACAGAAGCAGTATAACATTAAAGCTACATTATATAACTCTAACAGTAGGCTATTTAATATCTGTTGTTCTCCGGTTGTCAGTCAGAATGACAGTTCTTGCGTGAACATTATAGGCCTGTATATACCCAAGCCAATTTATTATTTTTTCCTTTTTGTCTTAGTGTTTAAAATATTTATTTTGAAACGAATTAATTAATTAATTAATTAAACAAACAGACGTACTGGGTGAGCAGCTGTCATATCATACCCTGCCATGCCCAGCTGATGCAAAGAATAGATTTATATCTACACAGAAGAAAGCCCTGTCTAGACTCTGCCCCGGTATGAGTTGTGTCCAGCTATTCATTAGCCTGTTTGTTTGATGAAGAAAGATGAAATGTAGTTGCAATAAATGCTTAAGAATCCATACAACTGCAGCAGTGGAGGACTATTATTCTGCTGCATGATACTGCAGAAGAACTGATGACGGCACGGGTTGATCTTCGGCTGACCAATCAGCAGAAAGGGGCGTTTAATTCCCGCCCACATGTAGAAATCCAATATTCAAGCTGTTTATTCATTTTTCCACCCATGAACGAAAAACGAAAACTTAAGCTGAATTATCGTTTTTAAGGAGCCATTTTCTAATTTTTCTACTTTCAATATTAAATCAAAAAACGAATGATTGAATGATACACGGATTCATATTGCTGCTTCTTTCAGTGCTAATTGCTTTGTGTATTTTAATGTTAAAATGGGAAGACACTCACCTGTTCTTTCTTTCATTTTTCTTGTTTTAGGGACACGTGGAGGGAGGAGTAGATGTGAAGAATGTTCAGGCTTCTGAAGAAAACCTTTGTTGTTTATAACCCTGTTTAATGTTTTTGCTATTTGTGCTTTCTCTGTATCTATAATAAACGAACTGAATTAATCAAATTCGAGTCTTTCATATGTCGTTGAAAAGGTCTCTTAACTAGTTTTGGGAAAATGAGGACAAGTTAAATTAGCGACGTCGCTCATATTGATTAAATAATTAAAATGAGGAACTGGTTACCAACACGACTATGGATCCACGAGGTCGCAGTTACTTACTGGGGGGGGCGGGGGGGGGACAGAGAAACTGAATTCACTGGAACACCGGAAAAATATTTAAAATGCTGATTAAGTTGATTATCTGAACGAGCTCCTCCCGGACTTTGTCAATAAAAGCATCATAAAATCACAAACAGAATGTAAGTCTGTTTTTGTTTGGCGTGTGTCTTTCCGTTCTTAAGCGCATGCGTGACTCATTTCTCTGCTTTCTTCACGGGCAACATTAATCCCGATCCTCGCAGAGTTTAGTTTTCCTTTCTACATGAATTGTACAAGTGCGCTTCCAATGCTTTTCCTTCACAGTAATGCAGGTAGTGATACGCTCACGTGACAGCTAAATAACTGTATACTCTGATCTAACTGAAAACATGGCCCTACAGAAATCTAGATGACTGTAAAATGGTGCCAGCACGGAAGTATTTTGGGGGAAACGTTTGTGCTCCGGGTGTTGGCTCTACTTTTCAGAGGAAACGGTCAGTAATAGTTTCGTTTCTGCAGCACAGAAAGCGTTCGCTCCGCTGAAGTCACGCGAGCACGCACACAGCTCCGCTCTCTATTACTGCACAAGGCAAGTTTATGTTCATACTTCATAAACAATGGGAATTCAGTGTTTTGCTTTACACAGGAGAGATGTAAACATCATCAAAGTTTCGGCATTATTTTTATGAAGAGTTTAGATGAAGTTTCATTTAGTCCATGAAGAGCTGGTCATTGCACTGGGTTGATTCTAGTGTTCTTTTGCAGTGAAATAAATCTGCTCGTGATGGACGGGTGCGCACAGATGTGTAAATGTTTCCTGATCCTGTTTAACATTCTGTTCGCTGTGAGTATGTCTGAGATTATATTCAGATTTACTCTTCTACCGGTTAAACACCGTCTCCTTTGATAAAAGCATGCTATACATGTTTTTTTTTTCTTTTCTGTGCATATATATATATATATATATATATATATATATATATATATATATTCTGCCTGTATATGAACTTGTTTTATACTAGGTACTTGATTGTGTTGCAGTATGTGCATGTTTCAGGGTTTTGTGTTGCAATATCCTGTCTTGTCAAACTTCAAATGAAACGAAACTAAAGGCATGTGAATATGTAAATGAAGTGCTAGTGTTGACTGTAGTGTATTTGTGTGAGGCGCAGTAAGGCCTCTGGGGTTTCTGACAGCTGTGCTGTGTCTTGCAGCTGCTGGGGTTCGGTCTGGTGGCTCTGGGAATGTGGCTCCGCTTCGGCGCAGAGACCCGAGGATTCTTCGACATCGATCTGAACACCACACAGTTCAACATCGGTCTGTTCTGTGATGTTTCTCACTGACTGATGTTGACATGCGTGGTGCTGAAGCGTGACTCTCCGTGTCCGTGTGTGTGTCCGCAGGAGTGATGGTGCTGGTGGTCACCGGGGTCCTGATGCTGCTGGTGGCCATCATCGGTGATTGTGGCGCGTGTAACCACAGCAAACCAGCTCTTAGTGTGGTGAGAAAGAGCAGCACCACTAACACCTCACACTCACTCACAGAGCAGAAGCATTACAAAGCTGTTAAACTCCTTCAGGATTCAGAGCACAGGAGGACAAAACTCTCATTTGTAGACATATTTTTAAAACATTTTGTTTTTCTGATGTTCAGTTTTCTGGCCTGCTCTCCGTTCTGATCATCATTGAAATCGCAGCTGGTGTTATGGCCTTCATGTGGAGCGGACGGGTAACACACACACTCACACACACACACACACACAGGTGTTTGTCTAATAGTGCTGGTTTTAAGGCAGTCATGTGTTTGTTGTGTTGTAGGTGGCAGATGAGTTGGTGAAGTTCTACACCACCATCTACGCTCAGTATCTCAACACCAGGAGCCCTGGTCAAGCAGTTACCCTCAGATTATTCCACAACGCTGTAAGATACAAACTCACTCACACACACTCTCACTCTCACACACTCACACACACACACTCTCACACACACTCACACTCTCTCACACACACACTCTCACACAGTTCAGTTCTAGATGATGCACAACTCACAAACTCAGAGACACACTCTCTCACACACACACACACACACACACACACTCACTCACTCACTCACTCACACACATGTGGTCTAACAAGTGTGTGTTTGTGTCACAGTTCGACTGCTGCGGTGTCGGTGGACCGATTGAGGTGTTTGTGAGAGACACCTGTCCAGACGGCAACTTCCTGAAGCAGATCTCATATTCTGTGAGTCATTTCCTGTTTGGCTTGCTCTTATTTCTGCCTGTGTGATGTTTGAGGAGTGCAGGTGCTCATCCGTGTGTGTGTGTGTGTGTGTAGAGCTGTCCCGGCGTGATCAAGGACGTCTTCAACTCGCACGCTCCGCTGGTGTTGGGAGGGTTTCTGGGGACAGCAGGAATCATGGTGAGTCCATCTGAACACACACACGTGCTCACACCCAAACATGCTGGACTCCAGCGCTGCACGCGTGTCTTCTGACCCTCTGCGTGTGTTCATCCTCAGACGCTGGCGCTGGTGTGCAGCTTTGTCCTCAGAAGACACATCTCACCATCTCACGCATCTCCTCCTTCATACGTGCTCCTCACCTCCTCACCATCAGTCATCTTTCCTCCTCCAGCTGCGCAGCAGATATAACCGTCTGTGTCTCTCTCTGTCTCTCTCTCTCTCTCTGTCTGGCAGCTGGTGGCTCTGGTGTGCAGCTCTGTTCTCTGTAAGAGTCTGAAGACGTCTCACTACTCGTCTCCTCTCATCTACTAAGTCTCAGCCTCCACTCATCTTTCTGATGGATGGATGAATGCTTTCATTGGGCAAAGGTCAAGGGAATCACGTGTGTGTGTGAGTGAGTGAGTGAGTGTGTGTGTGTGTGTGTGTGAGAGAGTGTGTCTCTGAGTTTGTGAGTTGTGCATCATCTAGAACTGAACTGAATGGCTTTAATTTCCAACTCCGTTCTTCAATCTAAACTGAGGCTCCAAACAGGATACAGAATTCTAACTGAAGTCAAATGAAAGTGGAATGAATTTCACAGAATTCGAAACTGATCTACTGTAGTTTGTAATGCTTCATTTAAGTCAGCATGAATCACTCATAAATGGGCCGTTTAGACCTTTGATTTGACCACATTAATGTTACGGATCGTGGTGAATCAACATAAAGTAATTTCTTCAGTTCTAAATTCTGTGGAACTTTGTTACGCTGTAACTCACTATCTGTTACGATCTCATCCTGAATATTTCATTGTCTTGCTGTATGATTAAAAACTAAATGTTTCACATTTGTTTTTTATTGTAATACATTAAAGACACTTCCACAAACCCGTCACGGTCCACTGTGTTTCATCAGAGCTGGACAGTAAGAGGTCAGAGGTCAGGAGGAGTGATCAAACATTCACTGCTAATCATCTGTGATTGACGGACATTAGACACATGAAACACATCTTCATGTGATGCTCTGAGAAGATCATACGTACTGGATCTGGGTGACTGCAGTGACCATCTGATCTGGATACAGACTGGATCTGGTGGCTACGGTGGAATTAGTATGTTTCATCGGGACACGAAGAAATATAGAGCTGAGTATCATCAGCATAACAGTGAAAGCTAACACCGTGTTTCTTGATGATATCTCCCAAGGGTAACATGTAAAGTGTGAAAAGCAATGGTCCTAGTACTGAGCCTTGTGGTACTCCTACTAGCGAATGATATGATACCTCGTCATTCAGCACAAAAAACTGTACCACATTTAACTGAATAAGTATTTTAAAAAGTGCAGTTTTCAAATTTAAAAACACGTATGGTTTAAACACTTAGTTAAATATATATGATGTGTGTGTGAATGGAAGAAAAAGCAGGAGTAAATAACACAACACAGGACTGAATCAAACCAGCAGCACAACACCAAAGGCCGAATAAAACAAAAACACTCACGGCGTCCAATCCAGTCACTGACCCAGTGTGATCTGATGATGCCAGAGATCAAATTTAAATAAGGAATAACAAAATTAAATAAGATTCAAGATTTCTTTATTGTCACTATACAAGTATAGTGAAATTTGAGCAATCCTAACAGTGCAGTCACATGTAACTTAAACATTAATACAAAAAAAAGTAATAATAATAATAAAGTATGTTATTACTACACAATACAAGACAAACAATACACAAGCCAATGCAAACAAGGCGATAGTGCAAAGTTATGCTTTATCTGCAATACAGTCAGCGATAAACGGTATACTGTTTAACAATACAATACAAGGACAGTACAAACAAGCCGATAGTGCAAATTTAAGCCTTATTAAATATCGTATTGCACACATTATTGCACAGTTGGCACATAATAGAAATTATGTATATGTTGCATTGTTTGCATTCTAAAGGCTCCAGTGAGTGGACAAATATTGCACAGGAATGTTGCACAACAGACATAATATTGCACACTATGAAGAGGTAAGAGCAACGGAATGTAAACAGAACTGAATAATATAAAGTGTGAACATTTACAGAGTTAGAGCACACTGAGGTATACAGGGGGTATTAAGCTGTGTAGGTTGAGCTATAAATAGCTCCATCAGATTTGTGCATTTCTCAGTTATCTGTTTTTGTGTATGCCGGCAATGTTCAGCTCCCTTATGATGCTGGGGTAAAAGCTGTTCTTGAATCTATTGGTCCGCGCTTTAATGGACCTAAGACGCTTACCAGAGGGCAGCAGTTCTAACAGTTGATGTCCGGGATGGGAAGGATCCTTTAAAATGTTTTCTGCCCTTCTAAGGCAGCGTGAAGTGTAAAGTTATTTTAAGGAAGCCAGAGAGCAACCAATGATTTTCTGTGCTCAGTTAATCACCCCCTGGAGAGCTTTCTTATCTGCTGCTGAGCTGCTAGCAATCCATGTGGAGATGCAGTAAGTTATCACACTCTCGATGGAACAGCGATAGAAAGACACTAGCAGCTGCTTTGGCAGGTGGTTCTTCCTGAGAATCCTCAAGAAATAGAGTCGCTGCTGTGCTTTTTTGACAGCTGCTGAGGTGTTTGTGCTCCAGGAGAGATCTTTAGCAATGATCGTGCCCAGGAATCTGAAGGCTGGAACCCTCTCCACGCAGACCCCGTTGATGTGCAGTGGTGTGTGAATCAAGTTGTGCTTTCGGAAATCCATTATGAGCTCTTTGGTTTTAGAAGCACTCAAGGCCAGGTTATTTGCCCCACACCATTCTGCCAGTCTCTGAATTTCATCTCTGTAAGCCGTCTCGTCTCCTCCTGAGATGAGTCCAACAACGGTCGTGTCATCTGCAAATTTGATGATAGTGTTAGTGGAATGGATTGGGATGCAGTCATGAGTGTAAAGGGCGTAGAGAAGTGGACTCAGCACGCAGCCTTGTGGGACACCTGTGCTGAGTGTTAAAGTGGAGGAGGAATAGGGGCCTAACCGTCTGTGGATGGCTGGTCAGGAAGTCCTTAATCCAGTGGCAAATAGAAGAGGAGAGACCTAAATCCAGCAATTTGGCTACCAGCCTGTCGGGAATAACTATATTGAACGCTGAACTATAGTCAATGAAAAGCATCCTCACATAGTTTCCTTGGCGCTCCAAATGAAGCAAAGCTGTGTGCAAGGCAGTATTGATTGCGTCTTCCGTAGATCTATTACATCTGTATGCGAATTGATGAGGGTCAAAGGTGTCTGGGAGGCTGGCTTTGATGTACTGCTGCACCAGCCTCTCAAAGCACTTCATAATAACTGGGGTAAGTGCAACTGGGCGGTAGTCGTTAAGGCCCCTAATGGCGGTTTTCTTCGGTAGTGGGATAATTGTTGCTGACTTCAGACAGGTAGGGATGGTGACTGTTGACTGTTTAGAACACAAATGAAGATATTTTTAATTTTCTCTCATAATTTTTTGTTAATCCATTGAAAGTCTAGATAATCAGTATTTTCAAGCTTCAAAAATACAGAGTTATTGTAGAAGTAATCCATGCCAATATTTATATATGAATAAATCTTAAATTATATCATAGCGAACATGTCTGTTCAGAAGAAAATATTGGTCTCCCAGACTTGTAATGGAGGACAAAAATTAAGAGAATATTAAATATATTTATTTGTGTTCCAAAAATTAGCAGAGTTTGTATGGGTTTGGAACAACACGGGGCAGAATAAATTATGACCATTTTCATTTTTTGGTGAACTAACCATTTAAAGAGCAGCCCTCCACGTACATAGCCAACTTTTTGACAGACTTCAAAGTGAAGCCAAGAGACAGAATCGAACTCTTAAGTATCAGAGGTGTGCGCTGAATGTGCAATCCTACAGCCAAAATGAGGTCCAACTTGAACAGGTAGCTCCAATTCACCTGACCATCGGCCCTATGAACTTTGTGCACCCTGTGTACATTTCTCCATTGGACACATATCCTCTCCTCATTGGCAAAGACCTGCTAGACCGCTTTGAGCCATTGTTAGATTTTAAACAACTAAAAATCTGGGCTCAAGTGCAAGAACCTCTGCCTCCTCAGTCACCAAGACCACCCCAGACAGACTGCCAGGTCACAAAGGTCGCGGAAAATCTCGCCGCCAGCCGCGGGAACGTCTCGGCCCAAGAGCGAGGTTCAAGGTCTTTGCTCTGTACTTTCCAGCTAGCCAAAGACTCTGACACATACGGCCCCCAGGTTAAGGGGGGCTTACAACTGAATGATGCCACAACAACAGACCCCATACTAGCACTGTGGGCAGACAATTCAGCCATCAGCCTCTCACTGTTCAATGCTCTCAAACAGCACACAACGAACATTCCTTTTGCTAACAAGCGCACACAATTCCCTTTGAATCCCTGCCCATCAGCTATGGTGACTGCCAAGGGCACCTGTGCCCTGAACGTGAGGTGGAATGACAGGAGTCTAACCCATTACTTCCTGGTCCTTCCAGACGCACCGCATGATGTCTACATCGGAGCGGACATTCTGATTCGCCTCAGGGCTCACGTGGACATGATCAATGAAGTGATATGGGTTCCAATGACCTCACAGTCACCCACGGTTCCTGTCGCCTTTCTTGGGTTAATAGCCCTGAGCACACTCCTTACCCTGTGTTCCTGTATTGTGAATGAAGGTGCATGTCCGTTGAGGGTGGGTGTGGATAGTGTGAGCATCTCTGTCTCTCTCACTTCAAAGTGGGCAAAGAAACAATTAAGTTCCTCTGCCAGCGAGGCGCTGAAGTCAGAGTTTCTCTGGGTAGTGCTTTTGTAGTTAGTGAGGTGCTGGATCCCCTGCCAGTGTCGTCGTGGATCATTGTGGGTGAAGTGTTCCTCAATCTCTCTTTTGTACTGTGCTTTCGCATCCTTGATGGCACTTTTCAGGTTGGCTCTGGCTGTGCTATAGAGGGCTTTGTCTCCAGACTTGAAGGCAGCATTACGTTCTTTTAGGAGGGCCCTGACGTCTCTAGTCATCCAAGGCTTCTGGTTGGGGTAGACCCGGATGCATTTGTCGACAGTAACGTTATCGACACAGTTCTTTGTATAGCAGAGTACCGTTGTTGTATACACCTCCAGATCCTGGTTCTCGAAGACCTCCCAATTGGTTCTTTCAAAGCAGTCTTGGAGCTGAGAAGAGGCTCCTTCTGGCCATTTTTTCACAATCTTTGTAGTGGTGGGAGCTTTCCTTCTTAAGGGGGTATATGCCGGGATTAAGAACACAGAAAGGTGGTCTGACTGTCCTAAATGAGGTAGTGGAATTGATCTATAGCCTTTCTTGACATTTGAGTAGGCCTTGTCCAAGGTGTTTTTCCCCCTTGTAGCACATTTGATGTGTTGATGAAATTTGGGAAGAACCAGTTTTAAATCAGCATGGTTAAAATCCCCTGCTATGATGTGAACTGCATCAGGATGGACAGTCTGATTGTAGTTTATGGTGTGCAGCAAGTAGCTTTGAGCTGTGTTGGCATTAACATCCGGTGGAATGTAAACAGCTGTAACTATAACAATGGTAAACTCACGAGGCAGATAGAAGGGCCTGCATTTAACAGTTAAGTACTCCAAATCGGGAGAACAGTGACTACCTATGATGTTGGCATTGGTGCACCAGTCGTCGTTTATGTAGATGCAGAGCCCACCGCCCTTGGTCTTACTGTAATCTTTGTTTCTGTCCCAGCGAAATGCTGTCCGTCCAGCTAACTCCATAGCGGCATCAGGTATGCGTGGGTTCAGCCACGTCTCTGTTATCAGAATAATGCAGCAGTCCTTAATGATGTCTGTTTGTAGCGATTTTCATAGCCGAACTAGTAGGCCCGACCAGCATCCACGCTTTTGCTTCCTGTGTCTCCTCCGCCTTCGTCG